ACTGTGCACACCCGGAGCAGCAGTGCCCTGGCGGAGCTGCAGCCCTGCTCGCAGCAGCCACATCACAGCCCTTCCCAACCACCTCCCCCAAGGGCTGGAGCCCTTCCCTAGCCGTGCTCAGGAGCTCCTGTATGAAAGGTTATCCCCAGGGGAAGTTCAGGATAACAGCCCTGTCACATGAACCATTTTACAGGGATAATTGAGATAAGAGAGTTTCAAATTCCTGAAAGAGCAATTCCTGGTAGAGTGGATTATTCTTTGGCGAGGAGAACAGTGTCATCAGAGCGCAGTGTTTCCTCCCATATTTGTAACTCTCCCCGTTACTATCCACCGCGTTTTCTTCCCGCCGTGGCCCCTCCGTGGGTGTCTCCCACGCCGGAGGAGCCCGGTGGCCGCGACGGCAGCCGAGCTTGTGCGTCGCTGCGACCGGCCTTGCTTTGCGCTGCTGCCTCCCGCAGGGATCGCTGTCTGCAACATCCCGTCGGCGGCCGTGGAGGAGACGGCGGATTCCACCATCTGCCACGTGCTCAACCTCTACAGGCGGAACACCTGGCTCTACCAGGCGCTGCGGGAAGGCACCCGCGTGCAGAGCGTGGAGCAGATCCGCGAGGTGGCCTCAGGAGCAGCCCGCATCCGCGGAGAAACCCTCGGCCTCATTGGGTTTGGTACGTCAGCAGGGCTGTAGAGACCAGGAGAGCCGTGAGGAGAGCTTGATGCACCTCGGGGGCTCCAAGATGCTTGGTGCACCTAGGGGCTCCTTGGTGGCACCTTGGGGGCTCCAGGATGCTTGGTGCACCTAGGGGCTCCTTGGTGGCACCTTGGAGGCTCCAGGATGCTTGGGGGCTCCTTGGGGTCTCCTCGGAGGCTCCTTGGTGGCGCCTTGGAGGCTCCAGGACACTTGGGTGCTCCTTGGCGGCACCTCGGAGGCCCTGTGGGCAGGCTGAGCCCATCGCTGTCTCTCGGCCCCGCGCAGGTCGCACGGCGCAGGCGGTGGCGGTGCGAGCCAAGGCGTTCGGCTTCAACGTGCTCTTCTACGACCCGTACCTGCAGGACGGCATCGAGCGCTCCCTGGGGGTGCAGCGGGTCTACACGCTGCAGGACCTGCTCTACCAGAGCGACTGCGTCTCCTTGCACTGTAACCTCAACGAGCACAACCACCACCTGATCAACGACTTCACGATCAAGCAGGTGAGGCGGGCGGGCGGCGCGCGGCCGCGGGCGCCCTCCCCGGCCCTCACGCTGCCCTCTCTCCCGCCGCCGGTGCCAGATGAGGCAGGGCGCCTTCCTGGTGAACACGGCGCGCGGGGGCCTCGTCGACGAGAAGGCCTTAACGCAGGCGCTGAAGGAGGGGCGGATACGAGGGGCGGCGCTGGACGTGCACGAGTCGGAGCCGTTCAGGTAGGGGCGCCGCGCGCCGCCCTTGCGCTGCTCGCCGCTCTCCCCGCGCGCCCGCTCACGCTGCCGYGGCTCCCTGTTCCCCAGCTTCGCTCAGGGCCCCTTGAAGGACGCTCCCAACCTCATCTGCACCCCGCACACGGCCTGGTACAGCGAGCAGGCGTCGCTGGAGATGCGCGAGGCCGCCGCCACCGAAATCCGCCGCGCCATCACAGGTAGGCAGTGCCCCCGTGGGCCCGAACGCTCCTTGTCTGCCCTAATAGACTATGGGAAATTGAGGGGCGCCACGAGCAGAGGGCTGAGGCGGGACAGTGTCCCGAGAGGGTGGGGGGCTTTTCCCTGCTTCCCCACACCGGGAATGTTGTGGTCTGCTGTGAGCATTAAAGCCGTGTCCTGCCTGACGCCCCCTCCCCTTGCTGCCGCCCAGGTCGCATCCCCGACAGCCTCAGGAACTGCGTGAACAAGGAGTTCTTTGTCACGACAGCGCCCTGGTCGGTGCTCGATCAGCAGGCCATCCATCCGGAGCTCAATGGTGCCACGTACAGGTGAGCTGCCGCTTCGCAGCGGCCCCGCGCTCCGATTAACAAGCCAATATTAACCGCCAAACACGGGCCCGTGGCCTAATTTCGCTAAATCCCAGGGATTAGAGTTACGTACTGCTCCGCTTTGGGCAGCTCAGCACAAGCCACCGGGTGCACGGGCTGCCCTCAGTATGTCCCTGCCACCAAAAAAGCCCTCGGGAACCCTGAAGATCCTTCAGAGCCACTGCAGGATTAGCCAGCCAARTCCCACGCAGCCGGGAGCAGAGAGCTGCAAAGAACAGGGGCACTAAAGGGAAGCGACGGTGACCGAGCGGTGGTGCGAAGGCTGGAGGCACCACGTTGGCCACCACGTTTGCATTAGGGCTTACAGAAAACACCCCACAAACGGGCTCCAAATGGGCCTGGCCGGGCTCCTGCCCGCTGGGACCTGCAGGGACAGTTAAACACAACCAGCTGTTGAATGAGCCCCAGAATGACAGGAAAACACCCACTTTGACCTCCCCGAGGCTTGCTCGTGGAGGCTGATGTTGGCAGCAGCACCTCTGGGTCACGCTAAGGAAAATTAACCTGTGCCCACGTGTTTAGGATGCCACAAAGCTGCCCAGCTCCCGCGCGTCAGACCTGGGCTTGGAGCAAAGCCCGAGCCRCCGCTGCTCAGGTAGCGTCCGACGGGGCCGAGGCGTCAGGAGACTTGAGCTTTGGGCACTGAGGTTCCTTTTCAGCAGCTTGGGCAGGTGGCAGCGACCCGGAGCCAGGGGCCATTAGAGAAGCAGGACGGGGTGTTGCTGCTTCTCCGGAGTCTCCGGGAAGTCTTTGCTTTTCTCCAGGCTCCTCCTCCAAAGCGTCTCCCTCCTTCTCCCGCAGGTACCCGCCTGGCATGGTGAGCGTGGCGCCGGGAGGGATCCCGGCCGCCATGGAGGGCATCATTCCCGGTGGCATTCCCGTTACTCACAACCTCCCGACAGTGGCACATCCTTCCCAAGCGCCGTCGCCCAACCAGCCCACCAAACACGGGGACAACAGGGAACATCCCAACGAGCAATAGCAGATAATTTAAACATAAATAAAAACCATTCAATAAACTCGGGACCAAGAGACGTTGGAAAAGAAGTTATACATGAACTAAAAAAAAAAAAAAAGAATTTGATACGCAATTTGTAATGTCGATTTTGGACAGATGCATCATTGATGTCCGAGTGTGAACGAAAAAGCAGTAGCGGTCGAGACTGGGGAGCAGCCCTGAAGGAGTCACCTGCGTGCGGAAGCGCTGAAAACTAGGATGCGAAACATTAATGATCAACGTCTGTCATTGTGTGTTAAGTTTCCTTCATCTGTGCATCAATCACCTGAATAAAAAAAAATAGATTTTTTCCCCTCATTTCCTTGGGAGGAGCAGGGCTTCGGCCCCTGTTTCCACGTACTTGCCTCACGCAATCCTTGCAGAGCAAACTTAGAAATTTCAGAGGAAACCATTATGTGGCTTCAGCCCTTTCCTTACTCTTCTATCTGGCCGCCTCTCCTAGCAAGAGGCCCCAACCCTGGCTTAGAAAACCAAGAAGAAAAAAGCAGTTTTAGGGTTTGTTTTTGCAGGCTCCGGGGCCGGTGACCTGCGGCAGAAGGAGGCGCCCGGCCCCGGCCACCAGCTCCGCGCCGAGCCCTGCGCAGCCTCCGACGCCCTCCGAGGATGCAAGGGGCAACAAAACACGAAGGAAGAGTGTTAAATTTCACACACTATTTGTACTCAGATATATTTTCTCAGTTTTAAATCTGCAGCTATTTTATCAAGTGGAAAAAGAAAAAAAAAAAGAAGTCTTGAGCTGGAAAGGGTTCAAGAATAATGTTGCATTTCCTTATGTCTCAGGAAACACTTTTTATGGTAACTTGTCAGACTGTCTATGAACAAAACCCACTTTTTTAGACATTGATAAAAGTCTTCTTTTTCTTCATGTGATATTTTATACAAGAACACTTCAAAAYGTGTTATTAGATGTGACTGATTTTAACAAATCCTATTAGATTTGTATCAACTAGCTACATGTTATATTCATAGTCTTTTGTGAATCATCGCCTTTTTGTYTTTAAGAAGATGGCCTCTTTTGAGCCTTTGTATGGGTACATTCCTGTTTCTGTGACAAAGCAAACTTAAGCTGTCCCAAACAGAAAACCAGTGGCTATCAGCAGTATGTTTTGTTTTAGTGTGTTACCGTTACTGTATTTGTTTATTGTAAAGGTGGACATTTAGCGTTCAGTGCAGTTTTCAATAAAAAGTGATAAAATTTCTATAATTTCTGGAGGGTAAGAGCTGCAGGAGGGCGGCACAGCTGCACGGGGCTCATGCTCATCCTCAGCAGCCCAAGGTGCCTGGAGCAGGTTAAGGCGTTTGCAAGGCTGAAAACCCACCTAAGAGGAGCTGCGTTTGCTTCCACCCTGTCTTTTATTGCACTTAAGGTGCCACCATCGCCCACCTKAGCTGGGCAAAGGACACCGGCTAGAGGGGGACTTCAAGAAAAGTTGAAACCAAAAAGTGTCCAGGTTACAAAACCCTGTATTTTCCTTTTGTTTGCTTTAAAGTCACCTGAAAACCAGTTACCAGCTTCAAACCCGTTAAAAAGGAGGAGTCACGTTGGCCAGGTGAGTGACCAGTTCCCTGTCAGTGATCAAGGAGCACGGCAGTGATTAGCCGTAGAGACCAGGAGCAGCCAGGAGGGTGGAACGGGCCAGTTACAAACAGGATGCTGGGGAAGCACTCGAATTGACAGTAAAATCCAAGGGAAAACGTTTAATTCCGGGTGAGGTTTAGAATTACTGTAAATGTGGCAGAGGGTCGGGGCGTGCGGAGGGAAGCGGTTCCTGGCCGCTGGTTCCTCTGCAGCCTTCCCCTGCACCAGCGAGGGAGACACAAAGCAGCTTGAGGGGACAGGCACCAAATAAAAACATAAAAGGTGGGGAGTTTAAGGACAGTAAAGGGCAAAATGAGGGCAAAAAGGGRRAAAAAAAAAAGAAAAAAAACACCTTTGCTTGCACCTAGAGACACCCTATTTTGTTGATGGGGTGAACACAGCCTAGTAGCACTTGCCCTAGGCCATGCAGCAGAAGCCTGGAGGAATCTGCAATTTCCACGCTTAAATGTATTTGAAAAWCAGATTTTCTTCACTGAGGAATTCATAAATTAGAAAAAAGAAAAACAAGCAGATGTAAAGGAGGTAACAATAAAAGGCCAAGTTCTGTGCTAGAAAGGTAGGTGCTACTGCCAGCAAAAACACAGGAAAAAGAGTGTCAGGAACTAGTGAATTTTTACCCAGAGACTCTTGGCTGGCAGAGCAGAGCCTGGCCCGGGACTCRGGAAGGGGCTGTCGGTGCCTGGGAYCTCCAAGCACCCAGGGAGCACCYAGGACACCAGGACAGGCTTTCAAAAACACCTCCCTGCTGCTCCTAAGCTCCCACTTGCTAAACAGCRTTTGCCCGGCTGCCGTGAGCAGAAAACTACAGGAATTGGGCGCAAGGTTGGTTTTCACCTTAGTTTCTCTCCCCATCTTGCAAGGAGAGCTGCTTCCTTAAGCGGAACATGACTCAAGGGCACAGGGATAACAGTGTGCGCGAGGTTCAGCCATCCCTGGAGCCACGTGTCCTGGTGTCCCTTGGAGAGGAGGCTGTGGAGGAAGGCCAGGGCCAGCCRGGAGGTGAATTCCAGCAGGATGCCCAGCCCGGAGCTCAGAGCTGGGCAGGGAAGGGGCTCCCATGCCCCAGCTCAGCCTGCATCGGGTCCCCAACAGAACCTCCTCAAGTCATCGACTGGTCAGGGGATCAAGAATTTCCCTGCAAGGTAAGAAGAAAGCAGAAGGACAAAGGGGGACAAGAAAAGGATCCATCAGTTCAGGAAACAAGACCGGACCAGGACATGGAAGGAGCCTCCTCAGTATCTGCGATTTGCCTMCCATGTTCAGGTGAACTGCATGTATCTTGCTGAGAAACGGGCATTTTTACCTCAAAATCTGCATGTGCACCAACCGGAGATCTGAAGGCCAAAAATGTGGACATGTTCCATGATGAAGCTCAGTGGGCTCTGATGGGAAAAGTGCTCAGTTAATACAGGACTTCGGCATTTCGGTACTTGTGGTGGTGTCACCAAGTTTATGTAGGAGTTGTGCACATTTCAACACCATCTAAGCAGCATTTGGAAGAAAAAAGMAGCAGCAAGTTCCTCAGGGTTTCCATAGCTCTCAACCACACAAAAATATGTGCTATGGGGCATCCTTCCAAATCCTAATTAAAACAATTTYGTCTACGGTAGAATTCCTTATTCAACCACCACACCATCCAAAGTGCWTTTCCAGACAACCTGAATTGCACTGTATCTGTAAAAACTGGCATTAACCTTTAGTGTTTACGTGAGATTTTAGATAAACTTTATCCATTACAGGTTACATGGCTAAAGTTATCAAATATAATAAAATTTCTACTGGAGAATATACTCTGAACTTACAATCTTAGGAACTTACATAAGTTTAAGTATGGCCACATCAATCAACATGCAAGAAATTCCCAGGTTTACATACTGAGAAATATATAACACGGTGCTTGTAAAAAACAACTTCAGCATAGATTCTTCTCTTTAATTAGGACTGCCACGTGTTTTCTCACTAGATTCACYGACCAAGGAGCAACCCCTTAAAAAGGTGTTTTTTCATTTGCAGCAACACTGAACTYGATGAAAGAATAAATGATAAAACGATAAGAGTTTGTATCACAGCAAGATTGAGTTTGGACAATATGAAATCCTCAACCGCGTCTGAGCTCTCAAGTCTCACACAATTTTTTTTTTTTTYTTTCCTTTTAGCATATAATTACTGGACTAAATCCCTTATATTTTAGGTCACTTCTCTGAATAAATATCTTAAGCATATTGAAGGAATCTATTAACTAATCAAAAGGAAAAAACATAAAAATACTTTTCAGGAAATGGATCATTTCACTCGAGGAAAAATTTAGCTTCTCTTCCAGTTTGTTCCATAGAGATTAGATTTTATTATAACGGGCACAGCAGTAACTAAAATATTAATAAAATAACAAATGTATTTTTACGTACGACTTGCTGTGGATATTTTGTGCAAACAAAAAAAACCCTCACGATCTGATTTGGGCACTAGTGAGATTTCACATAAAAGGGCCTGCCACGGAAACGTGTCAGAGTATCTAAAAGATGACGGAGATGCCAAGTTCTACTGTAAAAGAATCTCAGAGGGAACAGATATCCAACTAACATGTGCTTTCGTAAGTGCCCTTAGCTGAAAAATTTCTTTGCAATAATTAAGATGCTGGTATACTTTTCCTATTACACAACCTCTTACACAACCACATGCGGTACATTTATAGACAGATTTACAATTGGAAAGAATTTCTTTTTCTGTCTTGATAATAAAATTAGTTGGGTTCTGGTTTTTTTTTTTTTTTTGCTGTTCTTGTACAAAGGGTAGTCCAGCCCATGCAGCTCTTCACGCAGCAGATGAGCTCCTCGCTTCTCCCCATGCTGGTTAGAAAAGAAAAAACCCCCATCCCTTCACAGCAGGTTTCTCCCGCACGGGGGAGGCTCCGCGCTGCTCCAGCAGCGACCGCGGTCCGACGCCGCGCGCCGGCGGCTCCCGCTCCTTCCACCCTCACTCGTCCTCGTCGTCCTCGTCCTCCTCGCCGTCGGAGAGGGACGTGCAGGGGCGGATCTGGCGGTAGCGGTCGAGCCACTTCTCCACCATCTGCGTGACCAGGGGGTGGTTGCGCCGACGGGAGCTTTTCTGCAGGGCCACCAGGACGCCCCCCTCCGTCACGCAGCAGTCCAGCCATTCCCGAAGCAGCTTTTCCTGCTGCTCCTCGTTACCTATCTTCAGGAGAGCGGAGAGAGAGAGGGGGAGAAAGTCAGGAGGATGGAACCACCACCAGTGAGTTTAAAGCAGCCACCTGTGTTCATGCAGCTCCTTTTCGGGGCAGACAACATCACCTTACACCTTCACAGACAGTCTACAAAAATGTAATTAAAAGGCCAATTGATGTGCACCGTGTTTTCAACTAAAATACTGWAAAGCTTCAGGATTTTCAGTTATTCTTCCCTTCTAATTTTTTTAAGGCATTTCCAGTATAGCCTTCCTAGGTTTGCTTTTTTTGGAAGCAGCTGATTACTTGTAGCAGCTCCAGCAGAGGAGGATGGGTCTTGCAGGAACCTTCTGGCTTTGCAAAGCAGTTTTTAGGAGTCTAGCAGCATTTAACACTAAACATGTGGCTCTTAGGAGACATTATTCCCGCTGGCTGCTGAAAATCATTGCTCTGGACTTGAACCTGGGCCTCTCCCTCACCTGCGGGACGGCCACTTTCCCCAGCAGCCTCAAGTCTGCAGAGCCAAAAGGCCACAGGATTTCCCATTCCTGCTCTGCTTCGACCACATATAAACCTTATTCAAGTGGCTCCCTGTCATTATCAGAGTTATTAAAGAAGAAATAAGCAAAGTTTCGTGAGGGAAAAACAAAAAACGCAGAGATACAGACACTGCAATGACCACAGCTGGGCAAGCTACAGGCGCCACACGTTTTTCTTACCTCTTGAGCAGAAAGGAAGTGAATGTGCAATAATTTCCTCTCGCTATCCACCAAGGGTAAAAAAGTAACAGTAACGTCGTCGTCAGTGTTGAGGTTAGCACCAGCACCTCTGTTGCCGTAGCCATCGTTCTCCATGGCCACCAGCGCGGAGAAATGGCCCCTCGTGTAGCCCAGAGCGATGGGGCTTTTCCAGCAGAAGCTCTGTTCCCATAACAAAGGCAAATAGACACCTAGGAGAGGGGGAAACACAGCGGGAGTGACGGTCTGCAAGGAGGAAGCACTCGGATGCAAACTCCTAGGGGTGCCCTCGGCTGACACGGGGACACGAGGAGCGTTCGGCACACGGTCTCATCCACACCGAGAGGCTCGTGCCTTTCGGGGCGGCCACTCAGCGTTAGGCTGGACTCGGGGATTCGTCGGGTTTATCTGCAGTGGGGCAAGCTTAGACTAGAATGGGATTGCAATTCCAAACACAGAGGCAACCCCCAGATCCTATAATCCATAGGACACCAATTAATGTAAATCAAGCCTGAAGAACAGTCTGTCAGATTTGGCCACCACCAACCCCAAACCTGCACACACASACCCTGCATCACAGGCAAAAGGCTTCAGTGACACCTCTGTTCCTAAAAGAGCCCCMAAACCTGCCACCCACCTGCAAAATCTGTAACTAAAAGAAACTTGCTGCACCAAATATCACTTGGTATCTAAGGATGTGTCTGTCCCACACTATTTGGAGACAAYTATATAGCTACACAAAGCAAGTATTTCACTTGATACCAACAGCARATAATCCTCATTCATCGTATACAGACCTTTAATTGCCCAAAGCTGACAAGCTGAACAGCTTCCCAAGTGAATTAAGCCTAGACAGCTTCAGAAAAATCTATGTTCCATACTGGACATTAATTCTGCAGCCCGAAGTTCTTCAAGCTATTCTGCGGTTTCTAACTTCTAAAGCTACTTTACTTTTGCAAAAAAATCAAAAAAATCACAAAGAAAAGCTTCTCAAGAAACTGTCTATTCAGTTATAGTCAGCAGTAATGTACAGGTGGAAACAACTGCTGGGCAGCCAACAAGCAGAAGTGCTGAGGCCACGAAGATGCCCATGGGCAAAGCACACGTGCCCAGCACCCTGCACACAGCTGCAGTTTCCTGACTCAATTCTTTCCATATTTATTTTGTTTACTGTCAACTATATACAGATAATTTTTTTTTTTTTCTATAGACAGAAATGTTTAAGTGTCAGCGTCTCAAACACAGGCAAGCTGCCCAAACACACATATTTGGCTGGCAAAATAGAGCACACAGCTCCAGAAAGCTACAAACTCCAGGCTAAGCAAAACAGGACGGGAGTGAACCAAACAAAATAACATCTTTGTGTTTATCTTAAAGACAGCTGGGCTGTTTGCCCAGGAGACGAAGAGAAAGAGTCAGCAGGAAGCTGATCAAGGTATGAAAATTATAGCACTAGTCGAGAAAACAGGTCAGTATTGACATCACATTTGTTGCAAACTGTATATCACAAACATACCTGACAAATAAAACTAGATCATGAAATTTAGTTGTGCAGAAAGTGAGATTTACATTTTCAGTTGCCCAGTATTTTGCAAACATGCATCACAAAGCTTCCCAACCTCATTACTCAAACAGGGAGCTGCTGGGAGAGCATTTACGAACGCAGTTCTTTCCTTTAGAACCTCTATGACAGAGTCAAGTAAGCTGCCAACGTTAATCAAGTACAAAAAAATGAATATTATTTCCTCTATTGCAGCTTGAGCACCCGCACGCTCCTTTCCTTTCCTTTCCCTTCCTGCCCTCGTGCTCCAGGGGTGACCCTCTGCTCTGCTCAAGGGCCGCTTCCCCAGCCGCCTCGTGCAGCGGGACGAGACACAGCCCTCACTCCTGGACAAGCTGGATGTGAGGAATCTCCCTTCCCAAGAGCTAGAAGTGCTAGGCATAATTCAATCTACAAAACAAGCATTTCCAGCAGTCATACTGTGCTGAACAGAATTTCACCCTGTATCTTTTATAAAGCTCCCGCTGTCCCAGTGCAGCACGGATCACAGCTTCGTTCAGCTCTCACTTCAGCCTCACATGAGACACTGATTAAGAGCCCGTTAAGGGAAGGACAAGGAGCTTCCCAGCAGGGCTACACGTAGCCTGCCTGCTATCAACACCTTCTACAACTTCCCGTTTCTAAAAAACCCAAATACTGGAAGTTTTGGAGGGGTTTGTTTGATACTCTATAAAAATAAAAAAGATTTATGTACACAGTAATTCCGGCCCTTTCAGGCCAGCATCTTATTACACATCACCCTCTTTTCAGCTTCCTTGGAATTTATCATCTCTAATCAAAACTTTTTCTAAACTGAAAAGCTTAAGAACTGAAGGCTTACCTTGAAAACGGGTATATCCTAACGTTTCTCCTCGGAAACTCTTATAATATTTTACTCCATAAACTATAATTGGTCTTCTAAGAATATGTGCAAGTACAAAAATGTGTGTCTGCTCCAAACTTGCTCCAGGCTGCACCAAAACACAAACAAAAGAACACTTGAAACAGAACATTTTTAATTCTAAATTCAAAAACTATTCTCCTCATCGAAGGAGGAAGCCCTTTTAAGAGTAATCTAACCCTGGTAGGGAAAAAGGAAAGACTGAAAGACTATTATATGTTAGAGATGAGCACAAACATTTCAGCTTACACAAAAACTTAATCTGTCTGTAATAATTCTTGGTCTTATCTCCCAGATTCCATCTGCCACATCTCATTCTCTGGTTAGAAATGAAGCTCTGCATAATGTTTAGTTTAAAAATAACCCTCTCAGCTCAGAAATGTTAAGGTAAATACYTTTTAATGACAGGGAAATGGCACATCCAAAAATAGTTACGATAAAATAATGCCAAAAYTAGGCGTGTACTTTTAAGGGAGGAGCTTTAAAACAATGCTGTATTTGGAGGCTTATAGGAACATAACTTGTATTTTGGAAGGCAGTAGCAAAATGTCAGCTTGGTAAAGTTTTAATAGTTGCAGATTACAGATTTGCAGGCATATTCCTAGAGGTGAGTGTTGTAGGAGGTAAGAGGAAAACATGAAGTGGACAATTGTGCATATACAATGCACACAGTTTGCTCTCCATTCTTGGCTCCGACACCAACGGAACCAGACTCTTCTTAACGTGCTTCCAGTGCTTAATAGCAAATCCAATAAATGCAGGTTTTCAAATAAAACCTTTTTTACAACATAGCAGGAGGCAGCTACCCAGTATTATTTTAAGATTGCTAGCTTAACAGGAATGTTTTCTGCTATAAGAAAAACTCTTGTTCATGAACAGCATCCCAAGATTTAGAATAATTCCTATTCAAGGGAAGTAAAATACCCTATTCAACAGCAAGCTAACAAGAGAAGTTCTCACCTGGCTCGCAAGAGAGAGTATGAATGCCCAGTCTTCCTGCCACTGCTCCTCCCGCAATGAGAAATGTAAACCAAAGCTTTGGGAATACCACGATTCCCACTCTTTCCAGCGCGTATAGAACCTAAAATATTAACAACGAGAATGAGAAAATATTTTAATGTCTCTACTGCTCTATCATGTCTGATCACAGCATTCAGCCCCTTGTAATCCTGTATCCAAACTCCTGTATTGAAGTGAGCACAAAACATATGCCATGAAAATAGATTTATTTTTCTTTAGTCTTCAGGAGACATCATTTAATCTAATCTTCATCTGTCCTCATGGTATCCTCATGTTCACAGCTATCGGTCTGCACAGTATCCTCATGTCCACAGCAAAAAGGCTATAACTGATAAAAGGTCCTAAAAGGCTCCTTACTAGATTTGAGCTTTATGGAGGTTTAAGTGTAGAGTTATAGGGAACAAAACCGAGACCTGACAAGCTCACCTACCAACTTCGAGCAGACTGTGGTTAACAGAATCTGAGTTTGATTTTAGTTTCTGGAGGAAAGAGTATGGCAATTTCTCATTACATGGAAAAAAAGATATAAAGTAGGATAGGCAAGAATCAAATAAAAAAAAAAATGAGATTAATCAATTTTACATTCAAGTTAAAGTCACTGTGTTTTTTTCTATTTACATTAAATTCTTCTGTGTACTAGCATGTAGTCCCAGGGTTTCATCTTTTTTAATCAAGGACAGAGTAAATTGATCACATGAAAAAGCTGATCCTAGCTCTTAAAACTGAGCCAGTCCCATCACAGCACTGTAGAAAGTCCTCAATTCAGGAGCAATCAGCCTAAAATCTTGGTGGATGACAGGTATTAGCTATGCAGATGCTTCTGCCAGCTAAGACCACCAACTCATGCAAAAGAGCTAGTAATAAGATGTATTTTGGTAAACTCATGTGCTTACTCCCAAGAAACCCAGCTAGAGGGACTCCTGCAGCTCCATCTACAAACCAGCTTCTCTCTCAAGCCAYGAACCACTTCCATCTTTACACCCCTTTTCCCCAGGAATCGCTACCCAAACACCTAGTGCCATGCGAAGAACCAGTTCTCCTGACACGAGTTTCCTCAGGTGCAGTTAAGGAAAAGCCTTGTGGGAACACATTTTTCCTCCCAGAAGTTTTTCCTGGYGCAGGTCAGCCCTGGATCCAGCCATCTGCAACGTTCCCGGGGGCTGCCCTGACGGCTCCATGCACAGAAATCAAGGCCTCAAGACCTGGAGTTCATTTAAAATAATCTTTAYAGTGTGACACGAGGACTGAAAGGACACGTCCATTCCTGAGAGCKGAGAGGAGCAAAAGAAGGGATAAATGCAAATGTCACCAAATGAGTTATTTAAATGTGCAGATTATGCCTATAAAAATTCCCATTTTTGAACATTATTTTTAAGGCTTTACAGAACAATTCCATTACATAAAAGTTTAAGTGCACTGCTGTTGAGACTAGTGATTGTTGAAGAGCCTATTCCTCCAGCAGCTACTGTCATTAAAGGCAGTGATGACAACCTAATTTCCAGTCTACTGGATGTCCTAACCCAGAAAGCTTTAAAGCTCCTTCCCACACAGACTCCATCAGGGGAGACAATTGGATACAGCTGAATCTAACTGAAAAGTTCAGATCTTCACCCTGGAATTACAGTCRAGCGCCTAGTGCTACGTCCAGTACTGCTCTAGTTGATTCTTTAGGAATTTCCATCACAAACAGGTTCTGGAGGACCTGGAGGTTCTGGAGGTTGGTTCTGAGGATGCAGCTCTGCATGGCCTTGTACTAGGGCCTCTACCAAGCTCTCCAGTGACGACCTAGCAAGTTGGATTTTCCTGATTAAAGGTAGGCAAGTATGATAAAGCAACTGATAATGAACATCTCAATCTGACTAGAAGAAGGACAAAAAAAAGTCTGCTTCTGATATTAGGTAAATTCTGAGGAAAATGATGATTCTGTCTAGACCAAGAACCAGAAAAGTTTACAAGACTTAATGCATTTTATATAATGAGTGTTATATTGAATAATGGTCAAAGATTAACATTGGCTAAKCCAGTTTGTGGTGTGTGGTTGTGTGCCATGCATGCTTTTGATACTACAAAGAACAAAACTTGATCAACATAAATCTATGTTCTGGCCTCCGGGGAATTGCTGGCGATGCCAGGGACATTCTGCATGGTCTAAGGGCACGGTCCCTAACGAGCAAGGCCAAGGTCAGAGTCATGGCAGGCCCTTTCACAGACAGGATCCTGGGAGAATGATGATGGAAGCGCCACTCTGTGGAATCCAGCTCTGGATGCCAATTCTGGGAATCTTCCCCACAGAGCAAGCAGGGGGGCAGCAATCACAGCAGCTATTTACAGGTACCTCTAAAGTCAGCTCTCCTTAGCCTCCTCTGGAGCAAAAAGAAGAATGCAGCAGAAGCTACTCCTCTGCTAGGCCTGCTGATAGTTTCTCTTGTCCTTGACAGCACAACATAAGATACAGCAGATAAGACTTCCTAAGTCAACCTTCATCAACATCTTGCCTTGGTTCCATCCCATATTTGGGACCTGGTGGAGACCACGGCAAGTCCAGCTGCAAGGCCAACTCCACCAGCAGGACTGGAGAATTTTTGCTGTACACTGACAACCTTAACTCAGAAAGATGAATTAATTCCATAGCCCAGCAACAGCCTTACCTCAATACTGATGATTTCTGCTTTATTGCAGACTCTTTCAGCAGACAAAACAGGAACAAAAAGGGCTACCCTGAACAAAGCTGCTACTAAGCAGATAGAATGAAAATACCAAAAAGTATACATAGGAATTAAGGGTCATCTAATGGTCTTCTGCTCATCTTCCACCAGCAGCAGCAAGACGTGGTATATGCCCAATTTACATTGCAAACATACAGAAAACGCAGTTTTTGTGAAGGTGGCATTACCACAKTCTTTACAAGACTACAGTAAAAATATATGTTTTAAAAGCTGCTTGCTGAATATAACATAACCGATTTCACAGGCTGTCCAGGTTTCCAATGCTCGCATTTAAAATAAACCAGAAATAGCTGACATGAATCATGCTGTGACTCAACATCTTTGATGCCCACCATCCAGAATAAATCTGTAGGGATTTTTTTTTTTTTTTAAATTATTACACTAGACTGCAACCAATGCTAGCCAAGCAGCTGACACCAGGGGCCCCTTACCAATGCGAGCAGTCATGTAAACTGTCATGAAGAGCTTTCCGCAGCACTGAATCCTTGTCGTAAATGCCCCAGGTGGCCTGGAGCACCGAGTCCAGCAGGCAGTCGCCGGCAGTCCGATTCCACAGGGCGTATAACCTGCTGTCCAAGCGCGTACCCAGCTCCAGGGACCAGTTAATTATGGGAGACTCCTCTTCTAGCTCTGCAACACAACGATAAGCACCTATAAAACCCACCAGCATTTCAAGATTTTAATAGTACACACTCTTTATGTAAATTGGCAAACTTAAGTTTTCCCTCCCCAACTACAAAAACAGGTGAACTTGAAGGGTTGGAAGCAGTTCCACATCGTCAAAGTGGAGTGGAAAACACCACCCCCGACCCTCCCATATACTGGCCTTAAAGAAAAGTATCATATTACTTCTTTGAGGATTATTTCTGAAGCTGACAGATTATTCAGTTTTCTTTAAAGAGCTCAGACTTACTAAAAACTGCAAAGCTCTTCAAGACCCATAAATCCAAAAGATCCTTTTGAACAGAATTTTTACAGTCTGCATTCCCACTAAGTTAGTGTAAATACTAGCATTTTATTGATTTTGATGTGGAAGTTAATTTGAAAGCACCAGCTTTACTTAAATCTTCAGGCAAATAAACAAAGACCAAGAGAAGATGACAGACAATCTCAAGAGCATTTACCTTTCTGAACATCTCTATCAAGTACTTCATCAAATAGCTTTTCTTGGACTGTGGGTGGTAAGTCTTCAATATCTGGAAAAGTGGAAAGCAAATATAATGATCACCCAATTTTATTATTAAAAAGAGGCTGTCTTAGCTATTTCTTACAATCTTTGGAGAAATAGCTCAGAGAATCCAACTGCTCTAACTTTGTAAGTTAGAAGGCAGAAAATTAGAAAATTACTGAGCTATGACAAGGAAGATGTCACCAACGAACCCAAAACCTTTACAAGTAAAAGTTGCAATTATATATTTTTTATATATATTTTTAAAGATAAATACAGCATGCACAACTTGAGTGCTACATTTCATAATGCAATAAATACTTGCATATTGTGAAACAGAGCAAAACACACRTTATTGATACTTGCACACATACACACTTAAGTAACTGGATTTTGCATTGATCAAGAACTTGGAAATGTGGCTTGCAACCATTTAGCTGTTGCCTATGTTCACAGATCCAATAAGCATTTTCATATTTCTCTCAGCACAAAAAAAGGGCTTCCAAAAATGGTACCAGACACCCACACCTAAGCACCTTATCTGCTCCTGAAGCATCTCCTTGTCCTTACATTAAAGCTGATTCAGAGAAGCCAGCAATCCATTTAAAAGGCTTGTACTGCACATGTCTGTGCACTGGCTCTTTGGGAGGATCATATTCAGTCAGGAATCTAACTTAAAGGTTTTCTAATAATTTTTGTTAATAGACAAACATTTGATGGACATTTTCTTGGTCACGGAGCAGTTTATAATTAAACACCAAACCCCAAACACCGCCAGCAGAAAGCCAAAGACAGCATCTAAAAGCAGCAGCTCTCAGCTAAGGTGAAAAGAAATTCCCCCAACATTCAGCAACATTTTATAATTACCTGCAGGTAACGTAAACGTTACAAGGTCAGTTAGGAAATAGCAGGCAAAGTCTCCCTTGCGCTGGTGAAGGGACGCAGCGATTTCACGACGAATTTGTTCTGTGACCTCAGGACACACCATGGCAGGAATGCACTTGGCTGCGTGCTGCGATACCTGGAGCACAACACACTTACTGCACTCTCTTATTACTGCCCAAGAACAAAGACTTAGGAGGAAGGGCAAATAGTGAGAGGGAAAGAAAAATAAAAACAAAAAGCCTCATGTTTGCACACAAGGGCTCACAATATTTTGACATWATGGAATACGGCAGGATAATGGAAAATAGAGACTCATAATTTATGACTCCATTTACTATACTTCTTTACAACTCCATTTACCATACTCCTTACACTTATGGGTAGCACAAAAAGCCCCGATACTAACCATATATAAAAGGTTCTAATAATGCATTTATTAGTATTAAAGATGAAATTAATATTTAATATTAACAGGAATTAATAAATCTGCACATATACAAGACCTTCGCCAGGACTTATAATTACAGATTTGAAGTTTGAGATGAAGAAAATGATGGGAGAGGGGAAAAAAAAGATAGTCATGGACTTAGTAAAAGGGAAAGATGACACAGGGAGGAAGCAACCAGCCTGTGCAACATGGAAGCGGCAAAAACAGTTCATTTGCAGGGCAAGAAGTTTGCTTCTCCCCATAAGAGTAGCTCCAGAGAGCCCCATGGAAGAAAGCACGTGGCAGTTCCCCACCAGGTAGGCTTACTCGTTTACAAGGCTCTAAATTAAGCTGTGATGGAGCTTAATCAGGTCATGGAACTTCCTATTCRACCTCAGCAAGGGCCAGACCAACTGACCTCCGTGAGCAGAATGGCCAGCATGTCCTGCCTCTGGAAGCGGATAGCCAGGTGGACGAGCGTGTAGCCCACGTCGAAGGCGGACGGGCGGTTCAGCAGGCGGACTTCATCTGCCGAGAGCTGGCGCGCGATATCCCCTCCTGACGACTTGTAGGCCTCCACAGCACCTAAGTCACCTTCTACAACCCCTGAAGAAGAAAAAAAATACATAAAGGTTTCATTATAGACAGCAAATGAACTGTTCTGGACCCTGCTTAAATACAGTTTGTCTCTGTTCTTATAGAAACCTAACATACAAAGGTCAACTGTGACCAAGCAACTTGCAAGTATTTCATAGTCCTCAATTAAAATAATTACCTGCACTTACCTCACCACCGAGACCACCTCCAAAATAGCTGGAGGACACAGAAGATGAAGGGTCAGCTACAATGCAAAGCTGGAAGCCCTTGATGAACACGGAGCATAAGGTACTCACAGTCATTTGGTTTCATCGACAGTCATGAAGACGAATCATCCATTCACAGTATTCAGGAACTAGCTCAATTATTACATCTTCCCTTGCAACTTACTCTAAAAACAAACTTTTTCCAACTTTGATCACAATTAGAAAATTCTTTCAGAACAAAGTTTTTTTTTTTTTTTTGAAGTATAGTTTAAAACAGTATATTGTCATGGAATAGAGGGCATAAAATTTCCATCCATCTCTGTTACAAATCCAGCATCCAGTCATCATCTAGGGTACTCTATTAAAAARCAAATATGCATACACATCACGTCAACAGTTTTTGCTTTATTTTCAGAGTGAGGTAGGGAAAAAGAAAATAGGAAAAACGTCTTCTAAAGCCCTCTGAAATCTACCTGCTGTCTGCATTTCACAGTAACACCTTTCCTGCCAAGTGCATTSCTTGACACCTGCAACCAAGTTTTATCCGTTACCTTCACCCATACCCCTTCCCAAATAAGGCTTCTGAAATTTTGAAATGCTTTTACTATAAACATCTTATTTTAGATACGTTCTTTGTGTAGAAGGGAACAGTGCAAGGAATAGTAAGTTGAGGAAACCTATTTGCAGCAGCCCAGACCAGAAAAAAGAATAAAAATACAGTATCAAAGCTGAGGAGATAGTGAGGTTTCCTATCACTCCAAATACTATTTCAATTCAGTGATTTTCCTTGATGCAAGAAAAAGCCCCCCTCACCATTTTTGATAGATAAAACCAGTCTTCAATCAATAATTTTGCAAACGCAAGAAAAAAAATAGACATATATAAAAAACAAAATATACTAAGAAATATCAAAATATATCTTTATCGCTCATCAGAAGCAAAGGGCTAGGTCTCAGAGCATTTACTCCAGTTGAACTGTTTACRGTCTGGTGTTCTGAATCCCAGTCTTGAGCTGACCCAACCACAGAGGCGCTCGTTATTCCAGGATAGGGGAAAGCATTCTTAGCTAGGTCAGAATTTCTGAGGCAGAGATTATAAAGTTTTCAGGAAATAAAAAAAAATAGTGCAAAATATTTTTCTTACTTAGCCCTACTTAGCAAGTCTCTAGAGCTGGACAGCTKATTTCCAGGGCTGTCAAAGCAGACGAGTTCCTGCACACAAACTGAAGAGCAAGTTYCAGGCATATGGCACCCAGCAGCCTGATCAGCACCAAAAGCCACTGCAGGCCAGGGCAGGATGAAAATGAGATAGGAATATCCTTTCTGGAGGTTTTTCCCTAGCTTGTCTGCACAGGAAACCATTCCCATCCATTAAGGAACCATCTGCCCATGCACTCATGCAGGATGAGCTGGAGAACCCACCACCTAGAAGTCACTTCTGCCCATATATAAGAAGTCCCTTCTTGTCTTTTATAGAGGGGTTAAGTTTTCATGGATGAAAAATATCTTCAGTAAGCAAAGAGCTGCTATTTTTGGRGAAAACCTAACTTAGCAAAGGGAAACAAAGGCAATTGAAGACCTTTTGGTGAGATATCCAAGCTGACAGTGTGAGACCCCTGAGCAAGCAGCTCCAAGGATGATGTTTCACTTTAGAACTAAAACATGATGAAAGCAAAAGGTACAACACATACTGACAAAACTGGCCCCTAACAAGAAGGCCAAGTGTAGCATTTTATTTTCTCACAGCCATGTTTTTATGGCACTGATAAGGCAAGGGCCAGGCTGATCACGATGCATCATTCCAGCCAAATGCAGCACTGACGCTTTTAACAGAAACGCACAGATATTGAGTCAGACACTGTCTAAYGACTTGTTTTCTTAAAATGAAAAAGCTCCGAGAGAAGAACAGATTCTCTGCTCCTTTACGACACTCTCAGGTTTATGTTATTTTTATGAACAGCACCTTTATAAAGCCTGGTGAGCTGCTGACCTTCAAACATGGACCACGCAGGGCAGCCCCAAGTCGGTGCCCGCTCCATTCACACATGTCACTGCTTCTCCAGACGCCCGTGCTCAGCTGCAAGGACAAACCTCAGCAAGAACCAAGGCTGAAAACTGTCACCATGTGAGGTCTGGCAGCACCTTAAGCAGCAGCTACTCCAAGCTGCGCTCGGCATCGAGGCTGCTGCCCCACGCTGCACGTGCAGCTGCTGGCGCTGCCAGCACGGCCCCRAGTCCTGCAACACTCAACATTCCTAAGGGCCCCATGACTGAGAATTGCTAAAATTATCACATAYGCTTTCGTTTTGAAAGTCCATTTCCAAGTCTTCCTGATAAAGACTAAGTAAAAAACAAAAACCCTATGCCCAAACTAGGCAAAATGTGAGCTCTCGAGGCCTTATTGCAAGCGGAGTGTGCAGGGCTTGGCCACAGTTTCTGCAGCAGAATTCAAGAGCAGAGATGGCTGCTGAAGGGCCTGTGCAGCCAACGCAGCTACAGCACCTAAAAGGGAACAGGGAAACGTGTATGGGTGTCTGGGTCGCGTCTGGTTCTTCTCAGGCAGCCAAGTGACTGTTCATGGGGGCCAGGAGGGGAAGAGGGAAGAAGGGCAGCAAGCGCTGAGCACAGGTCTAGACAGGAGATGGCCCTGACCAGCTCGTAAACAAGTCTTAACATGCCCAAACACAATGCACAAGACCAARTGAGAGGCTGTTTTGCCCAAGTTTATACACCGAGATGAATGTAAGACTGTTTTTTTTAAACAAGATGCTCAATCTTGCAAACCTGCTGTGCATTCTAAGGCCTGACGCTAATTCACACTGAAATATTTTGAGCAAAGTCCCCAGAGCATCAGGACTCACTTCCAGTACCACTGCAGATGCCCCAGGCCACTCTCATCCAGTGGGGAAAAGCCTTCACTATTTACTGATGTTAGAATCCACTACATTTCATAAGGCACAAGTGCTTGATTACTAAAGCAGCCTTTGAAACACGTTCTGATGAAGCGCCCGCCTGTTAGGTCTTCCCACCGACACCCACGGCATTCCTGGGGCTGCACAAGTGTCACAAGGCGAGTAGCACTTGCCCCACGAATGTCCCCMCAACCCTCCCAAATGCCTAGGTCTCTCTTCCTAGAGCACACCCGGGATTAATCACAGACTTCATGCACTGCAACAGACCCTTAAAATTCAATCACACTTCTGACACGGAGCAAGAGTAGCCCTTGCTTGAAGTAAATTCCAGAAGTGTTAGGTCCGTATTGCAAGCGAAGAAACTGCTCTTTTGTAAGAGCTCCTAAAAGAAGCAATTTTGCTTTGCTTAATGCACGAGTGACATGACTGTAAACCCAGAGCTTAAGTGACACAACAGAATGTAATGAGAGGCATGCAAGGCAAAGGAAAAATAAAAATGAAACTTGGGATTTTGTTTACAGGTTCATCTGTGCTCCCACTTGATTTAGGGAGCTCTTGTTGAAATATTCTTTCACAGCACTGAGTGCCAAGGCTTATTCTCCTACTGAAATCTCAACTCCTACGGATAGCACAAATCTGGAATGTGCAGTCTTAGTTTATTCAAGGAGGTACATGATAAAGAGATTAAGAAGGTACATTAAACAAAGACTGAAATTTAAAAAGTCATCCAATTATCATTTTCATCCTGCATTTTCCGGACACTCAGATCCATTTTCTTCATTAAATATCCAAAGTTACCTTTGCCTGTCTATGTATTTCTATAAGCCTATAATTAGCTTAGTTGCTAAAACCAAGGCACTTCAGCCAASATGCTTATTCTTTAATACACGTAGATCTTTGCAAGATTCAGTGCAGAAAAACCAACAGAGCAAACGTGCCGGCATTTAACACACACAGCCAGGGAGCTAAAGCCCGAACTGCAGATCCCCAGGGCTCTGAGTAGCCAGGTGCAAGAGCAAGCTGCAAAGCGAAGACCTGGTGCATTAGAAAGCCACAAAGCAGGCGCTCCAGCAGCATCCTCTGGCACCTCTGGAGGTGCCCGTTAGGGACACAGGAACGAGCTCCTGTGCGGGACAGCTGGACACGCAGCACTAACCCGTTCTGCTGTAGGCTCCAAATCCTCCACACGTGCAAAGACTCTCCAGTAGGAAAGCCGGGAGCAGCGTCCTGCAGGGCATCGCATCCAGAGAGCTGCTCTGCTCACTAATTCCCACCATCCAAGGCTGGGATGGGCAGCTCCTACACTTGATTAATGGTTCCTCACCTTTGCTCACGCCAAAGCCCRCACTTGAGTAGAAAAAAAGGAATGGATAATCACAGACCTGGGCTCTGCAGCAAAGGGGCTTCTCTAATTTTCTTTAAAAAAAAATTACCTTAAGAAACAAATACTTKTATTTTAAAGAGAGAAGTAGAGACAGACTCCTCATCAGCATCAGAAACGCCAAATTCTGTGCRTCTCAGCTCAGTTCTGCTCATTCTCCTCTACCTTCATTTTCAGGACCTCTCTTCAGAGCATTAATACCCAATACCCATCTGCAGCAGACCACTAACAGAAATTTTAAGAGAAAAAAATCTTATGTAAATTAAACTCCTAAAGCTSAACAACTCATATTAGCTTAAAAAATAACCTTCAAGAAGGAAAGCACTTTAAATCCGAAGCCATCCAACATATAGGGGTTTGACTGCGATACATTCTTTTCTCCATGCAAGCATCTCTCTCTCTCCTATATATGGTCCATACTGCCTTGCAGTATGTTAGAACCAGAATAAGCAGCACAGGAAAAAACAACTATAAAGAGGTCCCAGCCCCTCTCGTCAGAGGTATCCACCCTTCTAGTCACCATGAATCAGGTGCTTGTAGGGCTGTACCCTGATGGGAGACAAGGAAAGGGAAAAAGCAGGAATGTTCTTRACAACAATTGCCAGAAGGGCTTCCAAGACAAAAATCTGTAGCTAGCTTTAACTCAGGGGATACTCAGTTGTTTTTGGTATAAAAGAGCAGTCAAGAGGTGGAAATAAAAGCAAACTTCAGGAGTATAGATTTTCTAATAAAGAATAAGGTGTGCAGAGTTTTGCCTCTTTCAAAGGACAGGCAAAAGGGCTTACCTCAAATATATATGTACGTGAACGTGCATATATGTTACATGTGTGTACATAGGGGCATGCATGTGAAGCAGGACACCAAACACCCATGTAAGGCACAGAACCATGTCCAGCATGGAGTTTCTCAGGCAGGTGAGAGCTGGGTGCTYGTCAGGGTCAGTCCCCTGAGGGCACCGAGTCCCACCTCCCCGTGCTACAGGGCAGGAGGGGAGGAATCAGCTAGGACAGGTCTGGGGCAGTGCTGGATGAGAACAGGAGCAGGGAGGCCTCACGAGCAGCCCTGCCCACAGCTTTGGGGAGCACCTGGCACTGCTTCCACCTGCTGAAGCAGGAAAGGGACAGGCTGAAAAGCAAACCTGTAGGAGAAAAGCAGTTGACAAAAAGCCACACAGATACATACACAGGCAAAGCAGGAGCAAGCTAGCAGCCCTTTTAAGGATGTACTGCAAAACAAGGTTTATTAGAGGTTACTCCAAGCATTTTAGATATAAGGAACACTCTCAGTCGTCTCCCTCAYGCTGCTGATGGGGGAGAGTGACAGAGCTGCCTCCCTGGGCCGCACCAGGAGAGCACTCTCCAYCTCCCACACTGCTGGAGACACGGGAGCACCCGGGGCTTGAGGAGAAAGGAAAAGGACCAGGAACGCAGCTCTTTTCTGCAGTGGGGCCCAGTACAGCAGCGCCCGGAGCCACCTCTGTGCRCGCCGCCCTCGTGGAAACAGCACCAGGACTGCGGAAGCCGCCACGAGTCCCAGGCACCAGCCTCAAACTCACACAAGGGTTAAMTTTTAATATATATTAGCTCCTTCTCTTTCCCCTTCCTCCCCTCCAAAAGAGGGAGGTCACCTTACATTTCACGTTAACCTTCTCCTGGGCCAGCACAATAGGAGGCCGGTGTCCCCGCAGGAACAGTCAGTGAGTTCTCATTTAGCTCAAGCTAGCACCGGTTGTAAGTTGTGTTACTCATTAACCACATTTACTAGATGTTCTGCATGGATTTTGATAAATTCTGACTAAAACCACTGAGTCACACCTCTAAAACCTCACCCTTGGGAGAGCAGATCATCCACTGCATACAAGCACTGCTGCAAAACCCAAGYCAACAACCCAACCTGGGGGGTCTGAGCACATTTCCTTGCAGAGGCTGGAAGGGGTAACAGCCTTAGGAATCTTTGGCAAGAGGTCCCTGCATCCCAGAAACTGCGCGTGCCAAAACATCATAGCTCCATTCAGCACATTTTGTCCAGCTTACTGCACAGAATAGGAACCTTGCTGGCACATTTAGTAACTGACACGTACAGAGCATTAATGGATGTTCCCAAGACGACTCAAAGGCCACACGTGCAGGTCATTGTTAACATCCACACAATGAGATACACATCTTGGTATCTTGCCTAAGCACAAGTGGAGAAGAAAAGCTGTCTGATAACAGTTGCTGTAAGATTTCACATTCAATAAAAAACAATAAAAATAATAAAAAAAGAATTTAAGAGAAGCTAGATGAGAATCTAAGCAACTGGTCTAAGGCATCACAATCAAATATTTGCCTTGGTACCTTCCAGAAGGCCTCACCTTCTACRATACCCCCTTCTTTTTCAAGGAGATGCAACTAGTCTGCCTGGAATAACTCCTACTCGTGCTCCTCTCGACCTCTGCAGCTCCAGGAAAAGCTGGACTCTGTATAGGAAGAAGCCTGTGCTGGTGCAGCTCCCTCATGGAAAACAGACAGCAAAGGGACCCCCCAAAACTGGTTTARCTCCAACTTAGAGCGACACACTCTGGGCTTACCAAGCCTTAAACTGCCACTTGACAGCTGCTTGACACYAACACCTCATACTCGCTCTGTCCATTTTCAGACTTACCTGGTAAATCACAAGAAGCTGCTTTTACAAATGATCACGTTGCCTAATGCTTTACAAGAGCTCCAGCTGACTAACAAATAAGAAGCTACTAAGTCACAGCAACTCAGCTGCTTTCATGGTGAGACCTTAAGCCCCAGGCACAACGGTTCAACCTAAAGTGAGGTGGTTTCAACGTGTCACACGAGGACACCAAAAGAACCTGAAGTTCGACCCAACTGCTTTTAAGTTTTGTGGTTAGACCGGTATTACCTTTCCAGCAAAGAGAGGTCCTGYAGGATATTGAGACTTTATCACAAAAGCAGCTGTAAGGTTTAATCAGTCCTCCCAAAAGTTTTTCCTATCGGGAAGAACACTGGGGGGCAGTGGAGGAGGTAGGGGTAAAACCACTGATATGCAAAATGCAGTTCTGAAACAGAGCATTAACYAACTGCTTTGGTGTTTCTGTGTGGAGTTATGAAGCACAGCAAGTTTTTATGGAAAGGAATCCATGAAATTCTGAGAAGTCAGCATCCACAACGCTGTTTTCCTTTAAGCTTTCTCAATATGCATCTTAACGGGATACCTAAAAGTATTTTCATTTAAAATCAACCAGACTGACAGTTTTCATGAGCATCGTTTTCCAAAGGTCACATGCAGTTTTATAATCTCAAACACCACTGAAAAAACTTGCAAAACTCATGTTCCAAAATATAAACTGCACCCATGCCCACGCAGATTAAACCCAAAACCACACCTCAAAATGCTGCAGAATAGTCCGTTTTTCCCTCGCTCTTCAAGAAGCRGAGAACAAAAATCTCCAACAGTTTACACAACTGCTATCAGGGTGCAAGTTAGACATTTGTGAGGCACAGGAATGACCTTTGAAGACTGATCTAGAGCATTCAGCATCTTACAGAACTTGAAACACACGCATTTCCATTGCTTCACTTCACACAGAAAGAGCACCACACATCTGCTAGCAGGGAAAGAGCTGAAGCTTGCAGCAAACATCCAAGAATCTATTTGTTTTCAAGAGAAATTGCTTTGTGACTATTTATCCAACACAAAGCTAGAACAGAATACTTACTAACTCAGAGAAACCAAATCTCCAATAACCAACAGCAGTTACACCTGATCAAATACATTAAATAACTGCACCACAAATTAGTTTTTCAATAATAAATGTCAAACAAAGCGACTCAACAAAACTTCGCGGAATAGCAAGCAACATACCAGGAATGCTAGAGCTTCAAATGAAGTTGTCCTACTCTAAAAATAGGGGTCTGTTTCAAGTGCTTAACCTGCTCGAGTGCTAGGGCACAGCCATCTTCTTCTGGGAAGTTAGAGCACAAATCTGAACTCACAAGGTCAACAAGCGGAGAAAACCCTGCTCTTGCCAGTCAGCATTGCGAGAATTACCCCGAACCTCCTTAGGGAAGCACTAACACACAAACAAAAGTGGTATTTGAACTTTTTGAATTCTTTGACTACCAAAATACTCTTAGTAAGCCCATAAACATTTCCAGCACAGTATCTGCATTGCTGCATTACTGCGTTCAAGGTCAGTATTGCACGCGCAGTTTCTTGGAGCTACATATTTTTGTGTTATTTTTAACATCTGACAGAGCATCTTGTACTGTTAAGCTCTGCACTGTTTACAAATACTCCCAAGCTGCAGCTGCTGATTCTGCCAGCAGGTCTTACCATGGTAAAGAGTCACCTTAACACCCCATAAGGGCAGTTTTTACACTCCATGTGCGGTACATCGTTTTGCAGACTGGTTTGGGAGTTTTCCAACTATTGGGCTACCCAGGACAACAAAACTGGTTTACAAGGAAATCCACTGCTACAAAAGGTCAAAAAAAAAGAAAAACCACCCCAGCACATTTGCTGCCGAAGAAAAAGCACAAGTCCAACCCTGYTCAGTTAAAGGATTAATTCTGCACTGTCACTCAGCAAGTGTTATTTCCACATTTGATTCACTCTTTAAATTAAAAAAAAAAAAAATCTGTTTCAAACAATTTTCAAATTTCCATTTCCATTCCTCATCCTCCCATAATACTTAGCCATAGGCACTAACAGCATAACATAGCAACAAACAACTTACCAACACAAGCATTTAAAAACAGCCAGTCAGTCTTTTTCATTCTGTTTTTTATTTGCTTTAGTTTTTTGAAGTCAACTTCAAGTTCTTCCTTGCTGCCAACGGCTCCAGCCAACTCAATTCTTTGGAAATCCATTTTTACATCGGATTCACGTTTGGTTGTAGGTGGAGATCTTCTTTGGCTATTACCACTACTACAGCTCCCTCTCCATCGAGCTCTGTCTTGCTCGTTTATGATGGAAGAAGCCTCTTCCGTGTCTGCCAGTTCTATTGCTTCTATGTTGTTGGGTCGGGGATGGTCACACACAACGCATTTTCTGGCCTTCGCCCAGTTTTCATATGTACAAACAGAACAAGTCCAATGCTGAGCCCTAGTGTTCAGTTTATTTCTGTCATTGTATTCCTCACAGGGATCAACAGAAAAAGGAACTGCTCTTGAGCCAGATCCTGAAGACTGAGGAGACTCCGTGGGACTCCTGGTCCTGCGCTGGGACAAGCACTGAGTGCATCGTATCGCTCTCGGCCAGTTCAAGTACGTGCACATGTGGCATGACCATTTATTTGCACTTTCCATACTGTAAGATGACTTAACCCTGGGTCTTGCGCTAGAATCTGGACATATCAAAGGGCTGCTCCCTCCTTCAGTGCTCGAAGGATCCCAGTCTCTACCAATATCACTTGAACCACTTTTAAATGGATCTTCTGTGATAATTGTTCCACTAGGTCGCTGAGCACGGCACATGGTACATTTGATTGCAGATGGCCAATTTTCGTAGGTGCAATACTCACAAGCCCATTTAATTCCACGTTCTGTCATCGTGCACTTCTTGAAATGGACTGCGTCAGGCAGAAAGCTAAGTAACCAAAATACACCATTAGTATACAAGGGCTGCAAAGAACCTCCTTTTCCTTAAAAAAATCTCATAACCCAGGTGACACACATTAATCCAAAGAATATGAATATACTACTAGGGCACTGTTAGCACATAGTAGGGGTATGAACTGCATATAAGACTTAAGCTAAATGACTCTGAATTAAGCTGCTTTCCATACACTGCACTTTTAAATGCAGATTTCAGAATTCCCCAAGGCAGAAATGAAACTAGGCCCTGCATTTCAGGTAATCCTTAGATCTGAATGGAGGCTTCAGCACAAAATTCAGTGGAAAGATATATATTAAGTGCCAGGAACACCAGAAGAGACCAATAGGGCTGCAGAAATAGGTCAGGAGGATTCAACTACCAAAAACTCTATGCGAATACAGCAGCACAGGAAAAGAACACACTCCAACATCTCTTTTGCAACATCTCTTTTTCCACATCAGAGAAGGAGCAAATGAGGAGACAGTTATACAGAAAGCAAGCAATCTAGCTCCTTTTGGAGAGGGTAAAAGCAATCACATTACGTGCACAGGTTTGAAAATATTATATGTGCTTAACCAAGATCATGCCTCAATTGGACACCACACGTAAGATTAGCATGTAGCTAAAAGAACACCAAACAGCAAGCACAAGCTACGTCTGTTGACAATTAGGACTTGTAGTCCACAATCTACATTTCAATTTAGTTCCAACTCACTTTTTCTCTAATGAAGAAGAGATTCCRTCTTCATGCTGGCTCGGACCTTTTACTCAGACTGCCAAATATGAAGGACGAGACTAASCAGATAACTATTCCTGTAAACAGAATGAAAACAGAATCATTATAGGCTTCCTACTGGACCTGAGTAACCAGAAAGTTAATTATTGAACGCCACACCTATTCTGATCCTAATTTATTTGTTTAAAGCCAGCCATGACCTCTTGAGACTAGCATGTAGACTGTTTAAAATAAAATCAAAGTATAAAGGGGACCAACTACAATCCATCAGTCACTCTACTAAAGTAGAAGAATTAGATTCAAACATCTGTGAACTTAAACCACAATCTCTGTAAACAGCCTGATCTGAATCTGAAACTTAGGATGGGGAAGAAAAAAGGCTACAAGGGCAGTGGGTAGAGAGGATAAATGCAGGAAGGGATGAGACAGGTAAACAAACAATATGAAGGAAAACATAGAGACTATTTCCTCCCTTGGCACCAAACTGCTGCTCACTACATAAGACTCAAACATGCCACGTTCAAACACACAAACCATCCAAAATGGAAACTTATCCTGTTAGCTGGCTGACAACTCTCACATTCCTTATATTGCAAATCTTTCGTTTAATAGCAACACCCCAAAACTAGTGACAAAAAGCTCAACACAGGAGTTATGCAACAGGCTGAAATTCAAAATCTACGGTCATCAGACTCAAAGTTAATACCTGTTCTCCAACAGGAAGTCATTTAGGAGTTTGCACACTCTTCACTGAAAAACCTTCYCCCACATCTTGGTCTACCGGTCACAGCTACCCATCCGTCCGCATTTGCCAATCCAGACTGCCACAGAAAGCCCAAGCCCTCGGCTCTGCCCCTGCTCCGGGCTGCGGCTCCAACAGGCCGGATAGTTTTTCCAACAGCTCAACCTGCTGCTCTATTTACCAGATCAGGTGGCTCATGAATGAGGGGCTATCACATGGCGAGGACAGCGGAGGGCCAGGGCTCTCCTGTTCAGCAGCCGGGCGGGTTTGTGCGGCGGGAAAGCGGCCGAGCCATCGGGAACAGCGGCGGCCTCCTCGTGGCTCRGGAGCTGCTGTGCGTTTGGACAGCCCGGAGAGCCCTTCGCTCCCCGCTCCAGGTTGTAAAGCTGCGTCACGCCTAGGAATGTGCTGAGGAGGCAGTCGGGCTTCCTAGAGCTTCCCCTCACTACCAGCTCAGAAAAGCCCATGTCCAACGTGTTTAAAAAAGCACCCCCATATTTGTAATAAAATAGAAAAATACATAGGAATGGAAATAACTTAATTCTCCCTAATGCCATTTCTTTAACAGCGACATTTCAGACGCTTGGAAGATAAACCACTTTGGTACTCCATAAATTAAACAAAGCTTTACCAAATCCGTTCCGACATCAGAATACTTGATGCTYGATTTATCCACCCCTTTTAGTCACAGGTTTCTTTCCAGTTCTTCAAAGAACTCTTACATGACTTCAGCTTTTCTTAAACGAGCTCGTTCTTTGCAATAAGTGTAAAGCTCACAGATATTTACTGTTTTCTGGTTACGAAGGTCAGAGAATTAAAATGCTTCTGGGGGAGGAGAATCAAGATGCACATCACCAGGGCACCTGCCAGCTGCTACCACCAGAACGGAGAACAGCGGCTTTACCTATGCTACACTCAGAGAGGAAACAATAAAGTTCAAACAAAACAAAGCAGCTATTTCAGCAGTTCTACATCCGATACAAGCTTGGGAACAATTTCTACCTGATCTGAAGCTGGTTATTCTGAGCAGGTTGCTCTTTCAGTCTCAACCCTCCAAGCAGCCCTAGCTAGATCTGTAAGAAGAGTTTCACGTGCCCCGTTTGTAAAACCTTAAAGCAATTCAGCAATTCCCACTGCAAACAAATCCCAACTCACGTCTGGGATTTGGGGCAGGAGGAAGAAATCAAAACATCGTGTGCTTGACTGACATGAGCTCTGGGAAGAGACTGCGTGGTGCAAAGGCAATCTAAATGAGCACCGACATATTTATTATTTAACAAACAGCATCACTGTACATCGAGTTACAGGAAAGCTTTTATACAGATCACAAGACTGGATTTTTAAGCTGCAGCTACTCTCTGCACCCCTYTGAAAGCTGTATGTTTTCAGCCACAGTTCTCAGAGGGGCTGAGCATCTGCAGCTCCAAGAGGCTCTATCTGAGCTCACAGCCTCCACGTGTGAGGCCTCGGGTCATTATGAAGGAAAGGACATCCAAAGTCTTATACGGAATAATGCAATTGCTAARTGTAATTTAAAGTCATTTTTAATATCAAAAAACACTTCAGAGTCTTATTCTCTTAGGACTGCAAACAAATGTTGSTAATCTTCCAGTATCAAAAAGATTATCCAAAGGTTTTCACAATATTTCAAAACTTCTTTTGCATTTCAAAGGCCTTTAGCTTTTCCAGATGTATTTTATCAGTAACACTGGAGGAAAACTGGTCCAGCAGAGGAYGGTCTCAGAACTGCGTGTGCTAGTTGTATATTTCCATAAGAACAGTTTAACTGACAAGAAACTGATGCATTACTCTGAATATGCAACTCAGTGAGTCTGTTCAACAAACTGCCCAACTGCAACGACAAAAACAACACAGAGGCTCCTTGCTCTTTGCTAGCTCTGCTGATACTGACTACAGCACAGCTAAAAGGGTGCTTTTTCTTACATATTTTTCAGAAGAATTTCCTTAAGGGGAGGTTTCCACGTTAACYGTCACTTGAGATTCCCCATGGAGAAGCTGAATCCTGTAGTATCTCCTCTCCTGGGGGAATAGCATGGCAGTGACCACAAGGTCAGCTTCAATGTCCAGTGCATGAAATTAAACCCTACAGAGCTCCAGTGTATGCACTGTGCTAAACACCTTTCAGATAGACAGAAGCATATATTAAATTCTGAATAGAAGCATAATTAAATTCTTATACATTGCCAAAAGTTGCTGGAATTTTCCAATGCCAAGATTAAATTAATTAAAACAAGCCAACAAAAGGTTATCTATAAATCTATAATAAATAACCAGATTTTTTTGGTTTTACTTTGTTTCAACTTGCACAAACRTTATTGTTCTCAGCTGCCTGGAAACATACTAAATGGCATACAGAAATAGGGAAGAAACMATGAAGTCAAATAACATTTTTGCAGCAGGAGGGAGCTACACTCCCCTCCTTGCAAGTCAATTATTCACTGCCACCAAAAGTTAATTTTCCCCTGGACTCAAACAACCAACATTGTGATTTTTTCTTAATGGCCTTTCCCATTTAACAGACCAGCAGCAGATCTAGGCCAGCCCACACTAAGGATTTCTGCTGGGCTGCTTATGTCAGAGGCACATCTGCTAGCAGAAACCCCACAAAATTACACTGGTCAAATCACTTTTCCCATTTTAATTCATTTTGCTTATATGCAATGATCTTCAGAGTTAACTYTGCTTTTGTATTTACATCCAAACTAGGAAACTTGACGGGTCTAATACACCTGTAAAGAACTCAAAGTTCAAGTATGACCTTAATCTTCAGCAAGACTTTCCAAAGCAGGAGAAAAATAAAAATAAAAATACAAGACCTCTCCTCCCTTCTTGATGCAGCTGCTTCTTGTAGTTTGTTCAAAAAAAAAAAAATGAAAGAAACAGCTCTCTTTTTATTTTAAAACACCGCAAAGCAACAAACAAAACAAGCAATGATAATGTTTCACTTTCTTTAGAAGTATCTATTAACTCAACAGCTTGGGGGTGAAAAGTAACAGCTTTTTTCTGACCACACAAAAGGGTAAAAAAGAAACACAACCGCAAGGCAATACATGAGATCAAACAGCAGCACTTTCCCTGGCAGCAATCACAAAAATACCACAATTCATAATACTTAGAGGCACAACTGCTAAAAAATGGGCTCAGAGAGCTGCAGTTTTTCAACAGTGGCTGGACACGTTGCTGCAAAGCAAATCTAGACATGTGCTAATATTGGGTGGACACAGAGCTTTCTGAGGAAAARCTACCTAGGACTAACACCACAACTTGACAACTTTGCTAAAGTGTTGCTCCTTGTCACTTATCACTGCCTCAAGTTCCATTTGGATTGTAATAAAAATACTTTTTTTTTCTTGGAAAATTCAAGTTGCTTTACATAAAAATAAAGTTCCTAAGTTTGTCAAATTAAAAGCCATGAGCAGCAGAGAAACAAAACAAAAAACCCCACAGATCTCAGAAGTTAAAAACCACACATCCAGGTTAACTTCTTACAGGACTACATAGGAATTTAGATGGTTTTAGCTGGTGTTTTTTTTTTCCTTTCTGTTAGAGAAAGTTAGAAAACTGTCTTTTCTATAGTTCATCTCGCTGTTTCCAAACAGTTTATAATTACTGCCACTATCCAGCTTTGTTTCTGACTCTATCCTTGGTAACTGTTAAAATCACACATAACCTGTACTAAGGGACTCCTTCAATGTAAGTCTTGCTAATTTGCTTACACATCCAATAAAAATTGAAGGTCTAGGGAACACGCCTCTGCATGACTATGCTATAGGTTAAAAAAAGGAGACAACATTTCTTTTTCAAAATTGAAAATTCACTAAAAAACTCAAGTATTTCTTAGAAAAAAAGATAGTTATTTAGTTGCCTTCATAAATTGACTTCTGCTACCTGCATCCAAGAATCCTTGTGATAAACTACACTGTTAATACAATTTTTTAAAATTACACTTTGAAAGAAGCTACTTAAAATGTATTGCCAGTTATCAAGGAATCAAATTTCACATGAAACTGCCCTGGCTAGTTTCATGATAGAATTTCCTAAGGGGGAATTCTATTGACATTTTCTCTTTACTTACTATTTATTTTCATGCATCCCCCTCTCCCTTTTTTTTCCCCCCACCATTCCATCTCCATTYGTCTTGGAAGATCAGCAGAACGGCTTTGTCGAGAGCTAATTCAGCACGAAACTCAACAGGTCAGTATATTAAAAGCATAAAAGCTCCACCAAAGCCTCCACGCTTTAAATGGAACAGGCCGTGGGTCCCGCCGTCGACTCCGCTGACCTTGTCAGCGAGAACCAAATCAGATCAGGGCC